ATTGAGTGATATTGTGAAGTTTTCTATGTACTTGATTATGTGGTTGTGTGGCTTGGTGTGTCGTTTGCGATTGGTCTGAAATCCTGAGACCATGAAATTTATAATCTTGAACCCTCTCTATCGAAGTGATGCCTTGAATATAGAAAGCTTAATGAAATATTGTTAAGGAAGTGGAAAGAGATGATAAGAATGACAAATGAATTAACGATATTATTGGATAAGGGTGTCACGTTCTAACACGGTATTATTGGATCGGGGTGTCACGTTCCGATGTGGTAACATTAAAGGAAGAAGATATTGAATTGACTTAATGTACTCAATCTCAAAGAACCCATTTCCCAAATGAGCATGATGTGGAGGCATGAGTCCCCGTATGTGTGCTTGATATTGTGATTGATTGTGTACTTGCTTCCGTTGTCACTTGTTCATGTTGTTTGTTGCTTGCCACATGCTAAGTGTCATAGTTGATTTTATACTATTATTTATAGCATATTAGTTTCTATTTATGGTTGCCGATGATACCCACTTAGTACGTGTTCCTTGTACTAACCCCTACTTGTGTTTTCTTCGTTTTCTTTTGTGGAGTGCAGCAAGTGTACATCGACTTCGACTCGCCCTCAGCTCTAGCCAGTTTCCAGAACATCAGATTTTAGGGTGAGCTATTCCTTCTAGCTTGTGCTGGATTCTCTCAGTCCTGGCATGTTGTCCTTAAATTTCGGACATAGACCATTCTATTAACCTACTTTGGTGTCTTTAATACTCCTACACTTGGTATTTTGAGGACAGATGTCCTTGATATGATGACTTTCAGGTTTTGGGGATATTAAGTGATAGGCTTTAGAGGTTTATTTGATTGGTTACTTTAATAAGTTTTGAGCTTTCGCATTATTGTTGTTATTCGTAGTTGAATTATTGATATAATTTGGGTTGGATTTGTTGCTTCGCTCACTTAGGAGGTTAAGTGTGGGTGCCACTCAGGACTAGTTTTGGGTCGTGACATGAGCTTTGACCCTTGAAAGGGCAAGATATGATATTATGCATGTTTTATGAGGCTTAGTACATGTTTTAGAAACACCTTGAGAGTAAAGTGAATATGCTCATGATCTAGTTGTTGTGTTGTTGAAAGGTTATTCTCATATACACACTTATGCATTAATATGATATGATGTGAGTAGTTTCCTCACAATATGATGATTCTAAGGTTGGAAGACTAGTCTCACCTAATGAATCTATATGAAGACATGGACGGTGAAAGGTAGTTCTCACGCATGATCTAATGAGCTTTAGTATGAGTTATGTTGGATTGAGTGTCAAGATATTCTTCCATAAATATGAACTTAAGTCAAGACTTAATATGAACTCAATGGGAATTATGCTTAGCACCGAGTGGATATTGCCAATAAGATGGAAGCTCATCTGTTAGTAGAAGGTGGGTTTCTAGAAGAGGTCTCATGAGATGGAAGCTCCTCTGTTAGTTGAGGGCGGGTTTCTAGTAGCAATCTCCTTATCCCATAAACTGTGTGCCCTCATAGGTTACTTAGCTATTGGATAAACCTAAGCTAAGAGTGTGGTTCTACCTTAGGCAAGTAGGACAACCCCTTTTCGGTGTGGGGTAGACACCGGATTCCATGTTAAGCTCACATGGTCTATGTCAGTTAAGGCTAATTCCCACAATAAGAATATGAATTATGAACTATGGTTACTTAAGAAGCTTTACTTAGTATGGGTGAGAGTATGGGATCTTATTCATGCATTGCACAAGTATTCTTTTAGGGTATCTATGGTGTGTTCCTTTTATGTTATGATGATCTATGTAATGAATATGTGTATGACTTATGCTTATGATGTATGCTTAGTTTGGAATGTAGCTTGAAAGGACTTTCCAATGCATGTGTGACTAAAGGTGAGTATTCCCTTGTCTATGGTAAGTAAGCTAAGAATGAGATCAAAAGATGATGAGTATGAATGAGGACCTAAAGTCACTTGCTTAGCATGGGTGGGATTATGGGGTCTTATCCATGTATTGCACACGCTTGACCTTGAGGTAACTTATGTAGTGTTTCTATTATGTTATGTTAAACTAGATACATTAATCATGCCTATGACTATGTTGTTATCTCTTATGCTTATAGCCTATGTCTTATTATGATGTCTCTTATGTTCATGACTTATGATATTGTCTCTTATCATTATTGTAGATGTCTGATATTGACTAATTTCTCTTATATGCTCTTATGATGTTATGCTAGCTATCATATTTAGTACTTTTGTACTAACGCATACTCTTGCCTACATTCTTATCAAATGTAGGGTTCGGTGATTTTGAGTTCCATCATTGAGGATAGGTTTCTAGAAGTGCAAGGAGTTGAAGACTTGGTGAGTCCTCATAGAATCGAGGATAAAGCCACCATTTTCCTTTATGTCTTTCTTTTATGTTTTAAGACTATTGTATGGGCTATGTCCCAAGATTTATTCAAAGTTGTATTAGATGGTTTGAGACAAAAGAGTTATAGACTTCCGCTCGGTATTATAAAGACTTCGATTGTATGGATAAAGTTTAATTTTTTTTTGTACTTTTCTATTATTGTAACGCCCCTCAAAATGAAGTAGGATAAAGTAGAGCCTCACATGGGTTTTATGCATTAATAACTTGTTAAAATAATGAAGAATAGCCTTTTTAGTCAGTTTTAAAGAGTTTGGAAGTCAAACGTCAAGGGACGACCAAGACGTTCGGAAACTAGTCTTTTACGTGTTGGTGTGTTCTAGTATGTTGTTCATGTTTTTATGTGTTGTTTGGAGTCTAAAATCAGTGGAGGTGACCCTAGTGTCTTAATAAATGTTTTTAGGGTCAAAACGTCCGGGTACGACTTCCCGGGACCACCCTAAGGGTTCCCAAGGAAGACCTCAACCCTTGGCCAAACAAGCTGCCAAGGCAGCTTGAAGTTGTTCATGGAGGGAGTGGCTCCGCGTCGTGGACCTGCTCCACCAATGGCCAAAATGTGGATCCGCATCGCGAAGACACTGCGGACTCTACTATCTCGAAATTTAATTTCCAGAAACTTGTGGGAACACCTCCGCGTCGCGGACTTGTTTCCCGACGAAATTTGCGAAAATAAAACTCAAGTTTGACTTGTTTAAAAGGTCCAACTAAGTGAGGGATAGTTTGGGTACTTTGGGGAATTATTATAAACGGTTATTCTACCTATTTTAGGGTATTTTAAGTTGGTTAAAACCCCAAAACCTAGAATTAGACCTCATTATCCAAATTGAACCTTCCCTCTCAAATAAATTCTCTCTAGAACTCCATGGAAGACATTGATGAAACTTCAAGCTAGGGGATGGGTTCCTACTGATTTCTCCTTCAAATTCCTAGAAAATTAATCACAAAGGTTGGGGTAGTTTGGATACTTTAGGGAATTATTATAAATGGTTATTCTACCAATTTTAGGGTATTTTATGTGGATAAGACCCCAAAACCTAGAGTTGGACCTCATTATTCCAATTGAACCTTTCCTCTAAAATAAATTTTATCTCTACATCTCCTTGGAAGACATTGATGAAGCTTCAAGCTAGGGGATGGGTTCCTACTGATTTCTCTTCAAATTCCTAAGGAAATTAATCACAAAGGTATGGGGGTTTTATCTTTGATTCTCCTTTCAATCAAAGAGCCAAATCAAAGTGATTTCAATATTTTTTTTAAAAACTAAAAACCCCAATTTAATTCTAATCTTGGGTTCTTGCATGAGAGTATTTCAAATGATGATTTATGTTAATATTGATGGTTTTAAGATCAAACTCCATGAACCCTTGCATATCTTGAAATCCTAATTTTTTGGTCTAAAGTGGGTTTATTGATTATGAGCTAATAATGTGATATTAATGTATAGACTGTTATGGGCTACTGATTTATGTATTGTTCTATATTGAATTATAAGGAATTGATGGTCAATTGTGTTATATTGGATGATGACCTTGAATGGGCAATTGTGACCTAAGGTTTATGATGATGATGAAGTTGTGAATAGATTATTGATTCTAGTATTTTATATGTATATATGTTGTAGATGTTAGAATTGTGAGGTTTGATCCCTTTGAATGTGGGGAGGTGTTTGCTTTATAAGCATGTTGTGATCATGGCCTTATAGGCAAAGTTGGATGATTGTTGTTTTGAGTAATGTTGATTATGTGAAGGTAATGTGATATGATGTGAATTTGTGTATGGTCTGAGAGTATGAAAGGTGACCTTGTGTAAAGATTTTATGTGTTATGCTTGGTTGTTGTCTTCTTTGAATGACTTATAATGAAGGTGAGGTTAGAATAGACTATGTTTACCTACTCTCATACCTAGTGAAGAATGAATGAAAAGAATGAAAGAATGTGTGAATGAATGTTGGGCTAGGATGG